ACTATGATCTTTACTGTAGATGAATTTGTTAGTCAAAATTCTAAGGATTAAGTCTCTTCGCTGAAACATTTGAAACCCCAAATAATTCTATTTCCCCGAGCTCCATTTGTTTGGAGATCCCAGCATTAACCCACCATCACTTGGGTTATTTGCATCCCAAGTTGTCTTGCGCGGATATTTGTGAGGTTATTCGCTGCCTATAACATTACGTCTTGGGCGATGCAGTAGCTAAGTGGATAAAGCGTTTGTTTGTCCCGCCGCCGACTGGGTTTGATTCCCCTGATGGATAATATGTGGGAGGCCATTCCTTGTGTGTTCAGTAATGACATTGTGGAATAGTGCTATAAGCGGCGTATAATCAGATTCACTCACAAAACTAACATCTGCAATATCGGTTAGTTATTTGGGAGTATAACGAACGCTTCCGAGAAACCCAGTTTCGCCATCAAACAGCAATATGACTGCGGTGAACATTAAGAAATGGTTTCATACATTATATCAATGGTTTAAGAGTGGAGCGAACGGTTGAACCTTAAGATTAGCCTATGCCCAATACGTGAGACCGTAGCGTCTAATCAACATTGCTCAAAGACCTACTGCCATGTACGTCTACACATTGGTAAGTGCAAACAATTATGTCCGACAACCCCATCATATCAACTGCTGTAAGCTTAAAGCATCAATCACTGTCTCCTCAATAACTCGTGCATCCAATTTCTGAAATGATCGGTTTGTGTTCAAAGCGTCATCCCAATCATGTGATGCTGTTCTTTATCAGAGGGACTGCCTGGAAGCCGTCTTTGTTACAGCCAATTACTAATATCATAACAGGATACCATTGTTCTGGGCACCTTTGGGAAACCTTTGATTAAAGTACATCATTTGATGTTTATGGAACCTGCCGGGACAATGATCTTTGGGGCCTGTGATGTCTGTGGTCATATTTCCGTCACAGGATCCCTCATCCAGACTAAAGGTTAGTCTGCGGCACGGGAGATTGCATTAACGTGACTGTGTGTTAACAGCGAAGATTATAGAGGAGCGAAAGACATTAGTTCTGTCCAGAAGGTCAAGGCTGATGTCGTAAACGTGGTCTGTGCCTGCTTTGGACATTGTCAGCGGACATTTCTTGCCTAGACGTTTGCAAACAATGATTGTGCAAAACATAAATATTCGTTCGTTCCTTTATTTCATGACGTATCCTGAAATAATTCGAACAAATATTCGTCCTTCTACTTTGATATAAGCAACATTACTTACCTGTTTGTAAAATCAGTTATATATTAACACTTGACTGTGTGGACTTTAAAATTGCGTAGGATTCAGATTATATAACAGTAAATCTATGGCATCAGTTTCCCGTGTTTGCTGACATCTATTACTTGAAAGAAATTTGTGGCTGTTTATTAAGTTGTTTTGTTTATCTTTTACACTAATTTATTTTAATTCATTGTGATGGTTTCAACAACGGAGCACATTGAAGTATCTACTAAGGACGCGAAAGAACCGAATATATGACCTTTCCTGTCCTGTATGTATGTACAGATTCTATAATAGTCAATATGACTATCGGCACCAGTGGGTTCCAATCCATTTTTAATCTTACGCAGCCCCATCTGTAGCTGAAGGCGATAACGTTAATATAATCCAGGATTATCATACAGGAAGCTGATGAGTCAAGAATCCCCATGATCCACAGCAAGTAGCCCAGCTTGGTTGCTGGTGGCTTAAAGAGTTAAATAGTTACATTAATATGACATGCTTGTAGCTGTTATAACTTGTATGTTTCCGAAATAATGCCAATCGGACATGAAGCCAATCCCTTCGTGAAGACAAATACTTACACATACTAATTAAAACAATCGCAGTATTTATGCTTTGCTGTCGGTTTTGTTTTTTACAGTAAAGTGTCAAATGAGCTAGTCCATCACTTAATTGTTTATTTGTCTGTTTAAAGACAACTGTAAGGAGTAATATGATATGAGGCAAATAGAATGAGGAGGGGGGGGGGGGTGTGCTACCGGTGCGATATTATTTTATCCTTACCATCAGGGGCGGTGGGGTAGCCTAGTGGTTAGAGCGATCGCTCGTGACACCGAATACCCGGGTTCGATTCACTACAATGTGTGAAACCCATTTCTGGTGTCTCCCGCCGTGATATTGCTTGAACAGTGCTAAAAGCGGCGTGAAACTAAATTCACTCACTCATTCCTAACCATTGTCGCGAGCACCTGGTGTGAGTTCTGACTTTCACCTCCATGTTTTATGCCAAATGGGTTCCGTTTGGATGGAAACTTCTTTCATTCTTTGACGTTGAACTCCGGGTTATATTTGACATTCACCAACGTATGTTTGTCGCAAGATCGACTAACGAGATCAAGTGGTCACGTTCGCTGACTTGGTTGACACATGACCCCGTATCCCAATTGCGTAGATCGGTGCTCATGATGTTGATAACTGGTTTGTCTGGTCCAGATTCGATGTTTCACAGACCGCCCATATAGCTGGAATTTTGCTGTGACCTCCGCCATATGGCTGGAATTTTGCTGAGTGTGGCTTTAAGCAACAAACAAAACTTTGATGTTCTATAGTTGAAAATATCATAGTGAAAATATCTTATGATTATGAAGTATTTTCTGTCGCTCTTGTTTTCATTACCTAGATGACAAAATGATGACAGCTATCGACGTTAAATTTGAAACTGTTATGATTTACGCAATCTGTGAACATATGTCATTCACTGTAAATGTAACTGTACTGGAGTCCTCCACTCTCTTTTATAATCAGTCTTTACATTGTTTTCCCACAGGAATAATGTCGACAAACCCACACCTTAAATAAGAAATCCTTATTATTTGTCATGTGAAATAAAGTCATACAACAAGAAACGCATTAGTACATATGGCTATTATTGACTAGCCCTTGCATCAGGTGAATCATTGCTTACTCCTTCATCAGGTGAATGATTCACCTGATGAAGGAGTAAGCATACACTCCGAAACGTCGTGTTATGCATAATAAAGAAGTTGACATCTATAAATTTTGCTTTTCTTATGCATTCCACTTCTAAATGCCCTTCAAAGATTTTATCATAAACCATGTTTTAGTGTGAAACTATGATGTCCACAGACTTTTAATGATAAGGTAAAGAAGTTGACATCCATAGATCTTGCGTTTTTTATGGTTTATGATGTTCACCATATTCCCTCGGCCCCGACATGGGTAATTATAGAACTTCAACCATCATTTCAATCCAGTTTGTTTTTACAATATAAAAGTCCATTTTACCAATACACTTTAACAGATCTATCAGTGGCATAACGTTGTTCTCATTTCCTATTTCTGGACATAGTAATTATAATAAGTGTCACAAATGGGACACTGAAACTAAATCCGCGCTATTCGCATCATAATTAAATGCTAAGACAGTCTATCTTCCTCAATCTAGTCATCCTGCAATATTTGCCATAATTTCATTAATTTCACCAATTTGACCATTAGCCCTTAGAGTACTGTGTTGAATGGTTTGTAGCCAGAGTGTACTTATCCTGCTGACCCAGACATTAATGCATTGGCTGATGCCCATTACAGTTAACGCTTCACGACCAATTACCAGTCTTATTGGATTCCAATATAGTAAATCTACCAGGCTGAGAGAGTACTCGTGAATGTGGGTCCCTTTCAGGTTGTCCTTAAACCGTGGATTATAGAGAGCTGACCTTCAACATTATTCCCCGATTAGTACTTTGGTCCTCTTTCGAACTATCAAATGAAAACAGGCAAATGATAAGCTACCTTACGAACGTCATTCGACAGACCATCAGCAAACGGTCATGATTGCAATTGACACAGTTCCTGGTGACCTGGTGACATGTGAGTAAATATGAGAACCACGCACACGCACAGTGAACCCAATTTCAGTTCACTTTTCATCGACTATATCAAATATCTGTTCAGTATTAACATTCGCGTATAGATGTATATATACTTGTCATCAAAAGTTTAGACTCACTAGTGTAAATATAGCCTCTTAGTTCAGGCAACTGGTCTAAACTATATTTTGGAATATACGGCATACTGTTTAAAGGTATTGTTTACACATGAACTGATGTATTGTTAAATAAATTTGTAACGTTGAAATGATAATTGTCATGAGTTCAGTAGATGATGAAAATCAGTGAAAATTGGCGAATGCTTAACTAAACTTTACACCACCACCCAGCTGTTCACATGCACGATATTTGCACATTCTTTTCAGCAATTTGATGCATGATCTTCGTGCAATTCAGCTGCATAAAGTTTGCAGTTGGTTCCACCAAGTTAGTGGAGAAATCAATCTTCGAAGTAACCTTAGCTATCTATCTATCTGTATATCTATATCTATATATATATAGTGAGTGTTGTGAGTGAGTCTAAACTAATATTTCTTATATATGTGTTCAGATGAACAACCCGTGAAGATCCAGGTTAGAATTGGGATCGGGTGGTCAGGCTTGGTTGAGTGAGTGAGTGAGTGAGTGAGTGAGTTTAGTTTTACGCCGCACTCAGCAATATTCCAACTATATGGCGGCGGTCTGTAAATAATCGAGTCTCGACCAGACAATCCAGTGATCAACCGCATGAGCATCGATCTGTGCAATTGGGAACCGATGACGTGTGTCAACCCAGCCAGCGAGCCTGACCACCCGATCCCGTTAGTCGCCTCTTACGACAAGCATGGGTTACTGAAGGTTCATTCTAACCGGGACCTTCAGGGGGACAGGCTTGGTTGACACGTGGCATCGTATCCCAATTGGTTAGATCGATTCTCGTGATGTGGATTACAGGATTGTCTGGTCAAGACTCGATTATTTACAAACCGCTGTCATACAGCTGGAATATTGCCGAGTTAAGCAACCAACTGATCATTTTTTATAACTGAAAAGCTGTGAATGCAAGTGATTAACGATTTGCTGGCCTTATGTCAAACTATTTTGTAATTTTCTTTCGTATACTTTCAGGGACAGCCTTATGATGGAGAACGCAACCGACAAGTATTACATCATAGGGAACGACACCGTTAACACAACCCTCGGGAGCCCACCATGGCAAACAACGTCCTTCTGGAGCAACGGGAACGACTCCGGCAACGCGTCCACTGCTGTCGGCATGAACAGCACGCACAGCCCAAGTATAGCTATCCAGATACTATACCGTATACACCTGGTTGCTATTCCAGCTACTGCGATCGTTGGTACCATAGCCAACCTTCTGGCGTTCTTCACCTTTATCAGTAAACCTCTCCGCCGTACTTCTTGCAGCCTTTACCTCGCTGCAAGATCGCTGTCTGACACAGGCTTCCTTCTGTCTCTCCTCGCAACCTGGATCGGAGATGCCACGACCTTCCAGCTGTATCATCGAGATGGAATGTGTCAAATCGTTCTTTTTTCTAACCTATTTCTGTGGATTTCTATCTGTGTGGTTGGTTGTCCTTATTACAGTGGAGAACTACATTCGTATATGTCATCCTTTTACTGTGGCAAGGTTCTGCACTGTCCAGAAAGCAAAATGTTTCATATCAGGTCTGTGTATCATTGGTGTAATCTTGTATCACTTCCCTCTATGGCTCAGTGCCGTGTTGGAATTTCCTGGCGGAAAGAGGTACTGTAACTATCTACAGAAATACATCACCATCACTAGAGTGTTTACCTTCGGGGACATGATCTTGACTCTGGTGATTCCGTCTATTGCTATTATTCTGCTGATGGTCGGCATCACCTACAGCTTAATCACGTCATTAAAACGACAAAAACGACTAAAACAAAACAGCGAAAGAGTCAAAAGCCAGCGGTCAAATGGCAAGAAGGCCGGGGGCTCATCTCCTCAAGCTAAAGTGACCAAGATGTTGTTCGCAGTTTCTTTTATATTCCTAGTTTTGAATCTTCCCAGCCATGCCGTGAGACTCCGGGTTTTGATCTTGACTTATGAGGGGGAACCACAGAAACCCAACATTGATCAGATGCTTCAAGTTATTTTTCAAATCCTTTACTATCTCAGTTTTGCTGTCAACCTGGGAGTATACTTAGCTTGCGGGGACAATTTCAGGAAGGTATTTCTGGACAAGTATGTGTCTTGTGTGCTTCGTTCCAAATACATGAGAAGGAAGAGTGAGGTGTCGCATACCTCCTTCACGAACATTCGATTGGAGGCAGCCGAGCCAATGAAAGAAGAGGAGACGTCATTAATCACGTGACTAGGGTGCATCTAAAACTGGACATAAGATGGCGTCCATTGCTAATCAGCTGAATTCTAGGGTGCATTTAGTGACATTGGATTATTTTCTTGGACGACCTACCAGATGTAGGCAAATTATTGATTGTTGTGCATGTATTTGAATGTTTGAAAACCTACTGAACATGACATCATTAGGTATTAAATACTTTTCGTAAATTATATACTATACATGGCCTATGTGATGTGATTTTGTATTCCTTTTCTAAATATACAAAATACTTTTATAGGGCTGTGTTCCTAATATATGGTTCAGAATCTCATATTTATATATTATATATCTATACATGATACCCCTTAATATATAAAGACATTTCTAAAATGTATAATATTGCACTTCGAGACATTAAGAACGGGAATGCTCACTGTTGTACGAGTACATTTGTAAACCGACAGAACGTTTGTTTGTTTTGATTTTGTTTAATATAAACACTATTATCGGAACCAACATACATATTTCATATGTTTGTATATCTGGAAAATATAACAAAATACCGGTGTTAACTGTTTCTTACATCGTTCATCAACATGCGATTAGGACCTCGAGCCATTTCAGTATGAGAATGGTGGGAATGTAGAGGGATTACGTATGTCCAAAGTCCATTGAATTTAATTACTTCGATCACCTGTAACAGGTAGGTTTGTACCCGTGTACCTATATACTACGTCCATGTCATATTTGCTCAGTGTGTATTACCTGCCCAATGTTCTCCCAGTTCGTTGTCACTTCCCTGTGTATGCCTTTGATGCCCAAACAACGTCCTCACATTAGCATGCATGGAATAAACTTGGAGATTCATCACTGTGTCACATTCAGTTTTAGAGAAGGATTTGACGAGGAGGCCCAGAAAGCTCACGTGACCGGAAGCTTTAATTGACCCCTACACGGATCACGTGACTTTGTGGACCTTCATAAAGCCTTTCTCCTGCCCGAGCATCTACAAACATACCCCTGCGTTGCTACGTTACGACGATGTAGTGATTATAAACCGTTCTTTTTCGAATTTCGATGTATCATGTGTACAAATATGTCCCGATTCGAAAAATATTTTATCATAACTAACAAGAAACAGGTAACCTCTATCAAGCACTATGTATTACACTCCTATCAAATTAGAAACGTTATTTGTTACTTGTTAAAACTGTGTTTGTTCTACTCATTGCAATAAAACATTCTTGCTTCTTTGTTCGTGGATGTCTCATTTACATTCAAATCATATCGCTATCTTTAAGTGATATATGTCTCCTCCAACATCTGGCATATTTATAACGATCTGTTGACAGAGGTGTCAATTAACTCCTTACATATTTCTCTGTTAACAAATGATATGTGCTACCAAGAACATCTCATATAACTAACTCCAGCTCGTGACAGATGTGTCCACAAACACTGTATCTATTTCTCTGCCGACAAATGATATATGCGGCCACGAATATGTCATAATTATAGTACCATTTTATAACAGGTGTGTCACTCACACGGTGATGTTTCTCTCATGATAGATGTGTACATTAGCCAACGGAAATAAAAGAAGAAAATTAGGTCAAATTGTGATTAAAATTTAACATTTGATATGAGACTTTCTTTAAGATTTCTTTTTTATAAAAACAATTAACATAAGATGAACCTTTGATTAAAATGTCTCACTGTTAAGGTTTCAGTTGTTGTCAGCATAAAAAATTCATTACGAAAATCATGCCACAAAGACTGAATATATTTCCAAGTTTTGAATTTGGTTTCAATGTGCGTTGCGTGTACGAGTGAGTGAATTTAGTTTTACGGCGCTTTCAGCAATGATCCAGCACTATCACGGCGAGGGACACCAGACATGGGCCTCAAACTTTGTACCCATTGGGAATGATCGAACACGGGTCTTCAGCGTGACGAGCGAACGCTTTAACCACTAGGCTAACCCGCCGTTGCGTGTATGGACGTATAAAGGCAAATGCCGATGTTCAAGTATACATGCAGTTTATTTTTGCAATTCGGACAACCGTCACACAAATATCGTTTTCTGTATGACTGTCGTGTTAAATGCTAATATCGTTACGATTTTGAATTGTGGTCTCTTCAATACACTTTGCTTCGTGCATCGATCTTTTGTCTTTTCAAACTAGATTGATATTTATTTATTGTTAAGTTTAACGTGAATTTACTAAAACATGATTTTGTGATTCGGACAATGACGTTTCTGAATTGGTCACTGTGGTAACATTCGCAAACGTGTTGAGATATTGCTGTCTTTTGAAGAGAACCATCCTTTGAGTGAGTGAGTGAGTTAAGTTTTACGCCGCACTCAGCAATATCCCAGCTATATACCATCCTTTGAGAGACCTAGGAGACTGTTCAAATTGAAACGATTGATGGTCCCTTGTGCTATGACATGTAAACCTGTGATCTGGCATTCTGGCTCCTAGTCGCAATGGTGGAAGCTGGTTCTTGTCTGTGTTGATTACGGTGTGTCCTTCAAAAGGCCATACCTGCAACGACGAACAACAACTTCCTTCTTTTCCGACAGTGGTGATGGATTTCATTGGAACTGTTAACAATGTTGACGACCTGAGTACTTGCTAAGATGTGGTAACTGTATTATACGTACTTTGTTAATACGCTGTATGTGTTGGGGCAAAGACGTTTCAGTCATTACATCAACCAATGAATGCTACAAGACAACTGGCATCGATGGTACACAGAACGGCATTGATAATATTTCTCCTCTTATGACATTTCAGTGAAAAAAATTTCTGTAATCCAGTTACATACTATAAGTTGTATGCTTCTCTCGAATATAATACGGTCTGACGTACGCCTTTTTGTAGAGTGTCACCGGAGCCGGTAGGCAAGGGATGACACTGCTACGAAAAGCGACATCAGACCGCATTACCCGAGGGAGAAGTTTAGAACGTATTTATCTTACCGCCATGTTGAATGTACAAAATATCATTTTATTTTATTTCATTTTGGAGATCGATAAGCTCGTTACCGACTATATGACATGTAGGGAAATGGCTTCTGCCTCTCAACTGCATTTTTAAATCAGTGAAATATATACTGACAAGCTTAAAACTGCAATAAAAAAGGTTAAATATGGTTAAGCGTCATTGACAAATGAAATTAAAGTATTTTACATTAAGATAAAAGTTCCTGTTCACATGTAAGAAAAAATAAAATATATAAAAATACTGCAAATACAGTTCAAATGATATACATTTCAAACGAATTGCGAAAACGAAACGATTGTAAGTGGAATTAAATGTACGTCAGGGTCATTGCTATGTTAAAACCTACGCCGATACCATTTTAATTAATGAAGTTGTTCATCTATCATCTTTAACTTTCCAACTTTTTAAACGGATCAGTACCTGGTATGATATAATTTGATGTCGTCCACCTCTAGATAAAACTCTTGGCTGCCTATCTGGTCTTATCAAGAAGAACGGACTGACAAATCATATGATTCTAAACCAATCCTACAGTCACATTGGGGCATTATCCAAGATGAAGCTAATACACTTATTGTCAAAGGCGACGTTAAACAATATCAGTCGCCCAGCCATATCAGTCTCTGCCTTCTGGGTAATGATTTCCGCTCCCCACTATAATCCTCGCTGTTAACCGACTGTCATGTATGTACGTTATCGCAAGGCAGACAGGTCGGTCTTGATGAGCGATCATATGACCACAGACATCACAGGCCCCAGAGATCATTTGTCCCGCCAGGTTCCTTAAATACCAAATGACGGACTGAAATCAAAGGTTTGCCAAAGGTGCCGAGAACCATGATATCCTGTTGTGACATATGTAATTGTTAGTGGTAGTGTTTCCAATTTGTGGTCTAGTTCGATGAAAAGACACATGCTTCGCCTGATTTCTCTCCGAAAGTGATCATTTGAACATCGACATGTTGAAGAGGAGGTATCGAGGAGCACCCAGCAGTCGATATGCTGGAGCGTTGCCGGAAATAATTATCTGGACATACTAGTAATCATCTGATGTGTCCCTGTAAACGCTCCTGATTACGTCCAATGTCCAGTTGGATAAACACAGGAATACATGGTACAGACCAAATAAGGGAATTGTCTTGTCGGTTTCTGTTGTCTCGAACCAAGCGGTATCACATGCGTCAAGATATATTGCTTGACACGAACCGAAATTTCACTGTTGAAAAGTTGAAGTCATTCTCCGGATCATTCCGACTTGTGTGGATGCTTTCTGTCAGTCAGTAAGCGTAAAAATAATAATATTATATAGAGTTGGACAAAATACTTATCTCGAGTGTATTCAGAGTTTGAGGCAATATGTGATAAACAACAGCCAACGTCTTGCACAATCTGCATCATCGGCAAGCAACACTAGCTACTGAAACGCCAGGACATTCCTCACTGTCGGGACTGTCATTTAAGGCGCTGCAGTGCAGCAAATCCTGTGGCACGGGAGAAACCCATGATTGTGGGTTCAGGTTTGTCAGCAACATAACCAGTCTTGTGGGTTTCAACCAGTAGTACCCGTCTGTGACCTGCCTCACTTCGTGTTTTAAGCTGACATGTCGTGAGGTAACTGTAATATGCAGCAGGGCGGTTGCTCAAACCAACTCAGTCACTTTCTTGTGTAAATAGAAACGACAAAACCTTTCCCACTTTCGCATGAAATCTCGGCTAAAAGCAGAGCCGATTGTACAATGGTGACGCTTTCAGCAGTATTACAGCCGTACGACGCGTCTCCAAATAATCGAGGCTGTACCAGACAATCCAGTGATTGATACTATTAGATATGATGACTGAGCATGTGTTTATGAATCATCATGAAATAGTCAAACTCCCAGGTGTTCGCGAAAAGGTGAGCGCATCCTGCATCACGTGGCACCCGTCGTAAACACACGCAAATCCTTGTCAAATCTGAAAACCTAAAACATTCGGGAACGTATGGTACAAGTCAAAAATAGGAAATTGTATCCGACATCAGTTTTGTCACTGATGTATCAAAAAGTTGAAATGACCTCTTTCGTCATACAACCCTGTGGAGAGTTTTTTTGTTACTCTGAATAACTATGTATAGATCTAAATATGAAGCAGTTGAGGTGGTCTCACTTGTCTCCTTAATTTCAAGCTCCGATGGGTAAATTTGTGGAAGGGAATTGGTTATTTGATGGTTATTAAACGATATCAGATCATGCTGTATCTGTGTCGCCTGTGCATGTTTGATACATGTATTCGATGTACTATAATGACATTAATGTCCAAAAGGGACCAATGTTCCGTCCAAGGTGTGGACGATGGTTACATAAAGAGTGAGTTTAGTTTTACGCCGCACTCAGCAATGTTCAAGCTATATGGCGGCGGTCTGTAAATAATCGAATCTCGACTAGACAATCCAGTGATCAACAGCATGAGCACCGATCTGCGCAATTGGGAACCGATGACATGTGTCAACCAAGTCAGCGAGCCTGACCACCCGATCCCGTTAGTCGCCCCTTGCGACAAGCATGGGTTACTGAAGATCAATATTCTAAACCGGACCTTCACGGGTGGTTACCCAAAGATAATAGGTGGTGTCTTGAAGTTGAAGCCCTGCCTTTGTAATAGGAGTGAGTGAGTGAATTTAGTTTTACGCCGCTTTTAGCAATATTCCAGCAATATCACGACGGGGGACACCAGAAATGGGCTTCACATATTGTACCAATGTGGGGAATCGAACCCGGCTCTACGGCGTGACGAGAGAACGCTTAAACCACTAGGCTACCCCACCGCCAGTAATAATAGAAATGTAACTCAAGGAGTCAGTTCGGTTCCATTATGGTAATGTAAAACATCCCCCATTGAAATATTTTGTCAGGACAACTTGTCAGAACATTTCGTCAGAATACGCGTATGTTTTCCGTAATTTAATTCAATACGTAAATTCGTTGAATGCTTGCATAACGTGTTTTTCAAGGCTGCGTTACGATGACACCTTGATTGTTTGTATTCCATGCGAGAATGATTGAAAAAAGTCCTGATCCTTACAGTGATCGACTGTATCATGTATGTTTACCTCAGTGTTAGCATGTCTAAGGCCCTCTTCTCCAGAACTCAACTAGCTGACCTTGCACAGAAGCCGATGAAGGGGCATCATCCTCTGAAGTTGACGCAATGTTTTCATGGACGCCCTTACAGTTCCAGAGTACTTGATAACCGGATGGTTGC